TCCCTGTCCACTGTGCCTTTTCCTAAATCCTTTTTAGACTTTCAGATTTCATTCAAGCTTTCCCAAGCTTGTAAAGAAGGAAAGAAAAAGGGAATGGGGGAATAGGCCAAAAATGAGTATGAGGAGCAAGGCCCCTCAGCTGTTCCAGTCTCCTAGGTGACACCCTCACAGTTGCCTGAAGCCCCACAGTGTGCCTAGCAGCCGGCTCCACCTCCTCCCAGGGCTTCGCTGCCGCTGTTGGAGGGAAAGGAGAAGAAGACCTGTCTGCAGAGGACTAGGGTGGGGGGCGGGCGCCTCCGCAGTGTCATCTGTGTCTCTCACAGCCCTCCGGGAATCAGACACACACAAATAGAGACTTTTTGGCAGCTCTTGAACATCAGCTGAGAGCAGGATGTCCTGGAAGGAAAAATATTTCTTTCAGGATGATATATGGAGCTCATGCAGGCAGTGACTGTTCCAAAACAGAGCCCTTAGGTCAGGCCCAGAGCCTTTTTCCTATTTAGGATATGACCCAGATCCTGGGAGCTGTTTCCTTTTGGTATGTGTGAAGCTGGGCTTGACGCATACAAGCCCAGTGACCTGAGATGTGCCTGCCCTGACTTAGTGCAGACTCGGCCTCGAAAATGATTCCAGATCTCCCATTTCCTCTGAGGTGGAAAGTCCCTGTGCAGTCGGCTGAAAGCACGTGAAGTGGGGAGGCCCAGGTAGGTGGGCTCCAGCCAGCCGGCCTCACCCCACTGCTTACATTCTCACTGGCCAAAGCCACATCTGTCAGCCCTCCTAGAGCCTCTGCTCCCACATGCCCTTCTGTTAGCTGACAGAGGGACAATCCAGGGGACAAGGGGGAGGTGCTGACTCTGGCACTGTGTCACAGCCACTGTCTGGGCTTCTTCCACACTCCCCTCCTTTGATGGCTTAGCTTATCATCACCACCTAGTTAATCTAGCACATGGCTCCCTGCTCACCAAAAAAGCAAGCATATGATGTTGTGGATTTCTTTGTTTTTAACATCCCGTGGCATTTTGAGGTTATAGGCTAGGGATGCTAAACATATTTTGGTAGTCGGTGAATTCTGGGTACTTGCCAAGTACCCTCTGAAGTACCACCTTCCCTTTGGGAAAACGAAACCTCCATGGGGACTTGACCCTAAAGGGAATGTCCTGTGGTGCTCTTGTTGCTCAGAGCTCTGGGCGAGTCTAGCTCCATGTGGTTACGGGCCCTGTGGGTGCAGAGAAGACTGAGACAGGAAGGTGACTACTGATTCCACCTCAATTCTTAAGAAATCTCCAATGGGACCCTCCTAACAGTTTTCATGAAAAAGCATCCTTTCTCTGTGGGACTGATGTGTGAATGATCTGAGTAGTTCTGAGAGCCTCTCATTTCTTTTTTGTCAGTTGTGGCCAAGCTGAGAATCAAGTCAACATTTCTCTTCTCCAAAGCCCCACACTCTGGGTTTTGGCTGCCAAGTTCTATTGCTTGCTGATCTATTAGTCTGCAGAGCTTATAGAAACTCCAGAGAAGTAACTCTGGAAGGAAGACAGAATGTCATTCCAAATGCCAGATTCTGTGCTCTAAGACACTTTCATGAAGTTCTGTGTCCTTCATCTTAAAAATTATGGTGGGGAGGAGATCCTGGTGGGGAAAGTTGTCTTCTTCTCTTCACATCATAAATCCAGGAATAGCATGGTAGTCTTTTGAATTCATGCTGTCTTCCTTGGATTCAGGTCTCGGCTCCACTGCTTACTAGCTGTATGACCTGGGGCAAGTCGCTTAATGTCTCTGAATTTCAGCTACCTCATTTGTAAGCTATTTACCTATTTCATGGAATTTCTTTATTTTCTTTAATATTTTATTTATTTATTCATGAGAGACACACACACAGAGAGAGAGAGGCAGAGACACAGGCAGAGGGAGAAGCAGGCCCCATGCAGGGAACCCGACGTGGGATTCAATCCCGGGTCTCCAGGATCATGGCCTGGGCCAAAGGCAGTGCTAAACCGCTGAGCCACCCAGGCTGCCCATGGAATTTCTTTAAAGCTGCTAGGCTAACTCCATATTCCTCCAGAACGTCTTCCTTGACTCCCCTGGTCAGAGCTACCTTTTTATGTACTCCCATAGTACCACACGCAGGCTACTATGCCCCATAATACTTGGTACATCATACTGAAATGATTCCTGTGCAAGACTGTCTCTTCTGTGACTAGCCTGCAGCTCTTTAAGAGTATAAAGTGTTTTAATCTGCTTTGTTTCCTGAGGTTCTAGTAGAATTTCTGGCCAATGGGATGGTTTTTACCCACTAAAAACAGACATCGTTTCTTGAGTATTCCTCTACATGAGTGTCTGTTCACTCTACCTTGAAACTGCTTGTATCTGAATTGATGAGTGTTAGTTGTTTCCTTGAAGTGATCATTCTTATTCTGTTCTTCTTTCCCTACCTAAAAGATATACTGGTTTTGATTCTTTATCTTTGGAGTTCCCCAAAACTATATTTGGGTAATGGCCAAAATAAATTCACATTTATTTCATGAAAGTGAAATAATAATATCTGATTTCTGCTTATGGGTAGTTTGTCAAATATATATGATGGAAAGGAGAGAATCAGATGATATTATAGTCAGGGGATCCTTAGCCTTCTCATATTTATCATGTTGGGTTTTGATGAGGGGAAGGAGCAAGAGAGTACAGGAGGACTAATGTTTGGAAACAACAAACTAGTGCAGTTAGAGCCTGTGCGCTCCAAGGGCTGGTGGCAGCAGGAGGCAGGTTTAGGGGATGCTGTGGCAGTAGCCACCTGCTGTGCTCTCTGCATCTTTTTTGCTATTACCTGGAATCCACATATTTCCTAATCTTCCAGATGCCCTGGTCCTGGATCATAGCTTACACTTTAGGGCCCTGAGCTCAGTGTTGAAGAATGGACCAGGGATGTGTAAAATGTCCCAACTGGGGTTTCAAAAACTAGAACAGGTGGGTATTGCACAGGGCCCTTGGGAGCCCAAGGATTCATGCTCTGACCCCATCATTAGACATTTACCTAAATTTATAGATGAACATGCCCTGTGTCTTGCTTTTCAGTAAAGATTATCTAGTAAATTTGAAAGATGCTATTTGGTGGAAGATCCAGATAATTCCAGCAGATGCACTAAGACTCTTCTATGGCTGCCTGAACTCACAAAAAGTTCTTTTAATGACAGTACAGAGAGGTCTAGAACGTTGTACACAACAAAAGTACCAGGATTCCAGAAGATTCTCTGCACAACTGTCATGTCACAAAAATTACTAAATCAGTATTCCCATCCCGTTTCTTTAGTCCTTCATCCCAGAGATTCTGACTTTCCCCTGATAGACCACCTGTCACCCAACACTGGGTTGATATGATACTGCCTACCAAAACCCAGTGTTTTCTCTTAGAGCTTAGAATGGCACCAAAGGCCCCGTGAGCTCTGTTCTCACCCCAGTCTCTTTCTCTTCTCTACCACTTTGAGTATACTGCTACTAGAAGATCTAGTAATACCAAGCTGTTGTTACATATCAATATACCTTAACCAGTGCTGTTCCCTCTGCCCAGAACTCCTTTGTTGAGTAACTGTTGTTTGCAATCCAAAGCAAATGGTTACAACACACCTATGCAAAAATACGCACAAACTGGTGCTAAGAATGTTACTGGACATCAGTGTGTCACTAAATTTGTATTTGCTGAATACTGCCCACATACTGGGTTTACGTAGAAGAGGAAAATGATAGGTTCGGGGCACATACCTGTGTGTGTGTGTGTGTGTGTGTGTGTGGACATAATTTCATCCCATATAAATAATAATCCTAGAGTTGAGGGTTGTCCTCGTTTATAGATCAGGAAATGAGCTCTTGGTAGTTATAATTTTCCTTGGAGCCCTCAGCTGGTCACTGGTGGAGTACAGTGTCTCACCTGGATTTGTCTGACTCTAGATTTAAACCTACATCACATGACAGTGAAGATGTTAAAGCATAAATATGATAGGCCTCTTTCTAACCAAATCTGGGATAAAAAGTTACATCAAAAAAAATGATGAAGGAGATAATAAGGAGAGAGGGGGGATCCTTATAGATTAAAGGTGACGAAGGAAACATAACAAATATGACACTTAAGTTTTTCAAAATCCATGAGTCATGGTGGTTCTCAGAGAGAGAGAGAGAGAGAGAGAGAGAGAGAGAAATGGAAAGAGTTTTTTATAGAGAGAAGGAATGATACAACTTTTAAAATCCCCATGCGTCACTTGGATACTAAAACCCCTGGATAAAAGGACAGGGGACAGGAGAAGCCCCTGGTTTCTCTGTATCACCCCATGGTATCACAGCAGAAAGACGGCTGGGCACCCCTAACTGAACAGCCAGGCTGGTGTCACCAAGAGTGTGCCATGGAAGGGGCACAGTGTTGCCCCCATGCTTCTTTTATTAAATAGGACGTGTTGACCATGATCCAGTCACACAAATCCACAACGTAACAGTTCTGCAGCCTGGACACCTCACGGATCAGCCAAAAGCAATGCAAGGGCCTCGATTGGGTCCCGGATCATCGGCTGGGGGTGGGGGTTGGGGGTTGGGGGTTGAGGGGATGGGAGAAGCAGCGAGACTTGGTTGATAGGAGCCCTCCTTAGGGTCTCTCCTGAGTCCCTTTGACCCTTTCCCCCTCCCTACCCCTTCTCCCCACTGCACTTGGGTGCAGAGATGACCAAGGAGAGCAAGCTTGTGCTCCCCAGAGGGGCAGGTGTGCTGTCTTGTTTCTCCTGCTGTGCTCAGCCCTCTCCTGGCTCCTGTGACTTGACTGACCTGCAGTATGCCCCTTGTCCAGCTCCCTGGCCTGCACAGAAGGTCTGGCCCCCTTTCACAGAAACAGCAGTAGCTGCCTGAGACACCCAGCTACCTTGCTGTCAGCGCCGCCTCCCTCACCGCACCCTTCCATCCCCAGTGAATGTAGTCCTGCCCCATCCTTGGTCACAGGTCTTTCTGTTTTGCTTGTCCTGCAGGTTCAAGCGTGAATGGTGTGGAAGAGCCTAGCATTGCCAAGAGGCTCAGGGGCACTCCCGAGCGGATTGAGCTGGAGAACTACCGCCTGTCCGTGAAGCAGGCCGAGGAGCTGGAGGAGGTGCCCGAGGAGACACAGGCCGAGCACAACCTGAGCAGCGTGCTGGACACGGGGGCAGAGGAGGACGTGGCCAGCAGGTCAGCCTGTGCTTTGTCCTCGCGGGTCTTTCCCAGACGAACATTATGCCCTAGTGGGAGTAGGCAGCACTGGACGCTCAGTGAGGGCTCTGAGCCACACTATCGGGTGCCATGTACCAGTGGGGTGACACTAGGCAAGCTGTGTAACCTCTCTGTGCCTCCGTTTCCTCCTCTGTGAAATGTAGGCAGTACTGGGACTTTCCTCACAGAACTGTTATGAGGCTTAAATAGTATGAAGCATTTAAAACAGTGCATGGCACAGGTTGTGTTGATGGTGGTCGCCTTCCTTACAGCTGTGCATGGTGCCTGGCCAGGTACACAGGATTTCTGTCATCCTGGCAGGAATCCTAGGAAGTAGACTGGAGCATATATCTTGTCGCTCTATAATTGAGGAAACTTGCTGGTGATTTGTACTAGGATCAAGGATTGACTAAGACTTGAACTGAGATTTCCTGAATCCAAGTCTAGATTCTTCCTGTTTCCCCACTGCCTACTGGCCTCCCCTTTTGTAGTTCCCTGTCTCTTTGTCTCATTAGCTGGTGAGAATCACGACCCATGGGGTGTAATTCGAAGATTCAGTGAATATTTCTTGAACACCTACCATGGCCTTAGCACTTTGCCATTTGTCGGAAAGGTAACAGAACAAAAGTAACAGTCCCCGGTCCTGTCCTCAGGTTGCTGCTTATGGGTTTCCTGGAGGGAAAGACAGACACAAAGGGCCAACAGTGCACCTGAGGCAGTACGCTGTGGGGGCAGGCGGTTCAGTGGTAGGAGCCTCAGGGTTGGAATCAGGGGTTCCTGTTGTGGCACCAGTTGGTTCTGCAGTCTTGGGGAAGCCACCTCTCCATCCAGGCTTCTTCCTTCCTCCTCTAGGTAAAAAGAGGAGCAGAAAACTTAGGTCCCAGAGGCTACACCCACAGCCAGTGGTTTTGTGCTTGGCCCTCCCAGTGTTTTAATTACATCTGAGTGACGCCTGAGGGGGACACATGCCCTTCAGCCCCACAGAACTCCCCGGGTCCACTATCTTTGCCCTATGTCCTGGTTTTCCTTAGTGCCCAGGTTTTCCAGAGTCAGTACAGGACTCAGAGTGCTCCATGGAGCATTTTGGTGATCAGAGACACCAAAGAGAACAAGATAAAGACAGAGTAAAATCACTATTGCTCAGACTGCTGCAGGGCTTCTGGAGTAGGAGCACTTACCGTGTCTCCCAGCCTAGTGGAGGCTTTGCATTAACATGAGGCATACGCAAGGTGCTTTTTTGTCACCACAGTAAGGGAATGCGTGGGGGATAAAACAGAACTTTTATTATTACTACTATTTACTGAGTTCTGAGAATGTTCTTCAGAGGGTGTCTGCCGGGCAGAGCTCCTTGCACTTGCTTTCTGTCACCTGAGACACACTTTGGATGGGCTGTTCCTTGGGCTGGACGCACAGGCAGCACATCTGGGCATTCCCAGGCAGCCTCCCCCTGGGTGCTTTCAGGGCAGACGCCGTCCCTGTATTCACGTTATCTCAGAACTGCATCTCACCCAGAGCATCCACAGAGCATGCATGCCTGCTCTGTTCTGATGAGGGACAGCCCACTCTCTGCAGGGCTGATGGCTCAGCCTCACAGTAAGCATGCTCAGCTTACTTTCCTGCCTGATGACAAACGCCACTTGATATAAAGATAATTCCTGGACCTGCCCTGGAGTAGCTGGGCTTGGGTGGAGACCAGGGGTACCTGCTTTTAACAAGCAACCTGGGTGAGTCTTATCCATGTCCTGGTTTAGTCTACCCACGCAGAGACTGCTGGCCCAGACCTAATTAGCTCCATGACCCTTCCTTGGGGCACGGAGGGGGAGCATCTTCCAAAGGAGATCCTGGAAATAGTACTTTTATTTTCTCTGGGAGAGGACAGGTATCTGAAGACAAAAGAACACTAACTTTATTTTTTTTTAAGATTTTATTTATTTATTCATGAGAGACCCACAAAGAGGCAGAGACACAGGCAGAGGGAGAAGCGGGCTCCCTGCAGGGAGCCCGATGTGGGACTGAATCCCGGGTCTCCAGGATCATGCCCTGGGTTGAAGGTAGACGCTCAACCGCTGAGCCACCCAGGTGTCCCAAGAACACTAACTACACTAACTTTATGATTTTAGTTTTGCTTTCTCCTGATCTCCTAGCTGGAAAACTTTGCCCTGGGGACTGAAGATGGCTTGGGCAGCACCCATCTGCTAAGGGCCTCCAGTGTTTGTATATCTCTGACCCTGCAGAAAAGTCAGGGAGGACTAGAGCCAATAGGTGCCCTTTCCAAATGGGGCGGCCTGGCTACAGAGGACTTCCCCAAAAGTCCTTGACAGGCTAGCTGAAAGGGCTTGGCCCTCCTTCAAGGCTGACCACAGATAAGTGGAGATTCCTGACTGATCTTCTGTCTTCCTCACCCCTTCTCCAGCAGAGGCTATAATGTGAGCCATCACTGAGCAGGATTTCTTTTAGCACAGATTAAACATCTATTGTGCAAAGATTGCTGGACAACATACATCTTCTCTTGCATCTGCTGAGCAATAGTGTTTACACCGTTGTCAGAGTGCACTCTCTGATTATGAGTGGATCCATTTAAAAATGAAAGCCATGATTCCCTATTTCCCTTGAACACCACCCGAGAACTTCAAGTGGTGTTTCAAAATTGCTGTCTGCCTCCTTCACAGTAGGGCCCACCCAGATTCCCAGGCTCCACTTTCTGAAGTTGGACCCAGGCAGGCAGGAGACAGCCATTGTCTTATTCTTGGGTTTGCCACCCTGACAGCTGCTGGTGGCTAAAGAACTCTTGGGTTCTTGGCGAATGTCCAACAAGGCACACTGTGACGGTGGTGTCAACATTGGTGGAAATCCTGACCTGTCACACCCATGATCCAACCTCTTTAAGCTTCAATGGCCTCATTTGTAAAAATGGGATATTATTGTGTCCTACAGTCCTATCGTTACCGTGTTCTAGGGTTAATGTGCATTTAAGTGACCTAATTCATGTGAAGAGCCTTGTGCCGCTGGCACTTCATGGAGCTCAGTGAGTGTTTACCATCACTGTTGTTGCTGGCCTCGGCCCTTTCCCCTCCCTGCATGACAGACCTCTGCTTGGCTCATTTAAGTGTGGAACAGATCTGTTTTTTTTTTTTAGAATCCAGCCCATGTACCTGCTGCTCTTGCTTCCTCTTACCAGGCCCTGTCATAGCCTCAATGAGAGGGAACTCGGGGAAAGTGCTTTGAGATCACTGATTGGATATATGTTCTATATATCAGGGAGGATTTTTGCAAGAGGTTCTTCTCACTGAAAGGGTCTGCTCCTAGTGATGGACTTCAGAGGCCTCATCTCTAGGACACCTGTGAATTTAGGTAGCAGCTTGCCCTGGCTTTCTCTGGTTGTGCTCCCTTGTACATCCTTGTGTGTTTGGGCTATGCTAGGCACTGTGACGAGCACTACAACAAGCCAAGCAGACCTGGTCCCTGCTCTCAGAGAGAGTGCAGTCCAGGGGGCGCCTACGTATATCAGTCGTGGGGTTGGGGGTTGGGGGGCAATAGATTGGTTTGAATGCAAAAGCAGATACCAGTCATGATAGAATGCTGATCTTGAGGACTGCATTTCCTGGCCTTCATCTCTCCTAGGAGGCTATAAATTGAAAGGTCACCCTCTTCCCAAAAGGGCAGAGCAGTTGGTTGTCTGTGTTGTGTCTTGTCCTGAGTAGGGATTCTCCCCACTTACAAAGTTTCTAGGCTGACATCTAAGTGGCAGAGGGTGGTCTGCCTCACTGTGGATTCCTCCTCTGCACCCTTCCTCCTAGCCTCTTCAAAGACTAGACCCAGAAACTCAGGCACTGGGAACAGCCAGAAAATGTAAAATGAGCCTTGAGGTTCTGAATTTACGTTGTGAATCTTTCATGACGTTAGGATCCTGGTGAGACCAGGTCCAAGGTCCCTTGGAAATGGCGGTCCAGAAAGGAACAGTTAGCAACCCCTGTCTGTCTCTCTGTCCTTCACAAAGGGAGGGAGGCTGGTTTCCCTGTCAAAGATTTCCGGAAACAACGTATCCAGGCTTCTCAGAAATGGACTGAAAGCTGGTAGCTTATGAAGAAGCAATGGTTTACCTTTCCACCCTATTTTTTATGCTCCTATGCCTCACTCACTGTTTTCCCGTGGTCCTTGGGCTGTCATAAAACTAGGCAGTGTGGCACTCATAGCAGCTATAAGTGAGGCCCCATTGCCCTTATCATAGAGTGGTCATTGCTTACATTACGTACAGTGCTGCCATCCTTTTGACGTGGCACAGTCCAAGGAATCTGCTCTATGGAAGCCCCCTCCCAGGAAGCCACAGTGAGAGCCCGTTGAGCCTGCTGACCACCGGGGTAGCCTTTGTGGACCTGGCTAGGAGGGGAGAACAAGCAGGCCTGCCTTCTGCCCAAATTTACATTAAGATTTAAGATGGTGTAGAAAGTGTTCTTATCCTTATTTCATGTCTGAAAGATATTAAGTGGTATACATTAGGTTACACATTATTGTTAGTAAGAAAGTAAACAAATGACAACACAAAAGTAAGGTAAAAATAATACCTAACTAAATACTGAAAGTCAAAATCCAGATGCCAAGCTTTCCATGGTCCAGATTCTTAGCTTTACTTGTCTTAAACTGCCTCCCCTCGACCCTCCATCCCACTACAGCTCTGCTCTACCTTACTTTATCATGCTGTGTTTGCTTCTTCTCTCCCCCTGAGAGTAAGGATCTTTTGTGCCACCGTTGTATCCCCTGCAATGTCTAGGAAGTGCATTATAAGGAGAAGATGCTCAGTAAGTTTTAGTGGCTGAGTGAATGAAGTAATATTCACCAAAGTGAGCTCCTCACAGGAAGAAGCTGTCTCTCTTTATTTTTGTACCTAACTGGGTGAACTTTAATAGGTACTCAAAAATGTCCACTGAATGAAGGAAGAAATATGTAAATGAGTAAACAAATAGGTAAACAGCCGGTGTCTCAGAGTGTAACACAAACATGAAAAGCAAGCAAATCCCTAACCTTCACAACACTTCTACAAGGCAGGTGTAAGCTTTGCCTCCCGACTGCTGCGGATGCTGACGCTCAGGATGAGTAGTCAGCTCAGGGTCATACAGCTGGTAAGGAGCAGAGCCAGTGTGGCTCTGTGAGAACCAGTCACCTGGGAAGTCATGGGCATGCAGCCATCCAGGCTGCCCTCACTCCTGACCCAGCTGAAGTGTGGGGATTCCCAAAACCACCCTCAAGTTCCTTGGTTCCTGAGAAAGATGCACAGGCTGATTAAAAGGTTTATACTGGTGGTTATGGTTTAATTACAGGGAAGGATACTGATTGAAATCAGCAGGTGAGGAAGCACACAGGGCAGAGTCCAAGAAAGTACAGATGCCGAGCCTCCAAGGTCCTCTCCCTGTAGAGGCAGGGAAGGGTTACTTTCCTGGTGTTAATGTGTGATGAAGTCCCTATACTATTACTCATCCAAGCCTGGGTATTCAGAGATTTATTGGGGCTCCATTACCTAGACATTGAATGACTGAATGTCTACATGGTGTGATTGAACTCAGTCTCCAGGCCAAGTAATCCTGCATGACTCAAGCCTCCACCCCCAAATTGTTGGTCTTTCTGATGTGGTCAGCCCTCACCCCAATCACATTATTAGACTATCCACCATAACCCAAGGATCCCAGAGAAATAAAGCCATTCCTATCAGGCAGGACCTTCCAGGGACTTAGAGTTTATCTCCCAGGTGCTGAGACAAAGGCCAGGTTAAATTCTCTACTGCACAGGTACCAGTAGCACTAGTAGTGGAATGTCCTTGACCTTATCACACTGTGTTCACTGATTCCCTCTCCACAGGCCCATTCTGAGTGGGGAGGGAGCACCCTACCATCACAGGAAGGCAGGACTGGACATCCAGCCCATGCATGTTGCTTCTGGGGTTGGAGGCTCTTCATGCCAGAGGTTGGACCATGCTTGACTGTAAAAGCCAAATTTCCTCCATCCCAGCCAACTACATGTTTCTCCCTGAGGGCAAAGCCTCTCCTGGAAAAGGCTTTTGGGAAATTATCAGGCCATGAACCAGGCCTGAGAAACTTCCATTTATTCAGTGGTGTATGGGGTTTTTCTCCATCGTACTCTGCCAGCAAGGGAGGAGGGTAAAAATGCTCTGGGGTGGTAGCCCTAAGGGTGGAGATCCAGGATTTTGGCTCTCAGGAGTCATGGCCAGCATCTTCTGGCATCAAGTGCTGCTTCTCTGCCAAGCTGAGCTCTGGGCTCTGTGTAAGGGGAGAATGCTGGTGGGAAACATGGCTGGTCGTCAAGGGTGGGGACCCCAGGGATGGGACATGTGTTTCTACCCTCTTCCCTTAGTCCCTGTACTATAATTTCAGTGAACAGTGCCTTTGCTGCATGTTAACTGTGTGTGCTCATAGGATGCTGCTCCAGGCATGGCACATAGGGGGGCTTCAGGGAGACACTGTGGAATTGAACATGCTGCCTTCCCTCCATCACACACGCCTTGATGGCCAGCCCATTTGTGGCTAAGACTTCATTTCAAGCCTCTTGGAGGCAGCTCATCTTTCTTACCATGGTTCCCACGAGAGCCTTCCAACCCACCTGAGTCAAGTAGAATTGAGTTCCTCAAGCCCAACAGTAGATCATGATGAAGGGAGACATTCTCTCTATGCTTCCTATGTCTCTGAGGGCCTTTGACACTGGACTCAGTGTGGTTGCCATTCACTGAATAGAGACAACCCCAGACTGGGCTGTTGGCCTGTGTGGCTTTGTGTAGGGGTCACTCATATGTGTGTATTTCCTCTGGCTCTCTACTCACTCCCCTTCCCCTTTTTTGTCTTACCTGGGCAGGAAAGCACGCCGCACCCCTCCATGTGTGTCCTCTCTCCCTTCCTGCCCAGCAGTTGCTTTGCTGGGACATTTTGCCTCTGGCTGTGATTTTCAACTGTCTCCTCAGTTTTTATCATTCCCTCACTCTGGTTGTGTGGTTGTTTCCCCACAGCAGTTCTGAGTCAGAGATGGAGGAAGAGGAGGAAGAAGAGCCTCCTCTGCCCACTTCGGACCTGGGCGGTGTTCCTTGGAAGGAGGCCGTGAGGATCCATGCTCTTCTGAAAGGAAAGAGTGAAGAGGAGCTAGAGGCCTCAAAGAGCTATGGGCCTGGGCATGAAGAAGATGAGGAGGACGAGGAGTATGAAGAGGAGGAGGAGGAGGAGGAGGAGGAAGAATATGAAGAGGAAGAGGAAGAGTCTAGTGAAGGTCAGAAAAAAATCTCTTCTCCTAACTCGGACCCTATCCCATCCCTGAGGCAGTCTGGTTCTGTGCCTCAGTAAAGTTTCTGTGGCTGGAGTCACACGGATATGCCTCCCACCGCCCAGAGACGATCCCTCCTGCCTTTCCCTCTGACCTGAATTTTGGAGGCAGAGGAGGCCATTGACAGTGGAAGGACTGTCTCTTGTGCACATTCTGAGTAGAAACTGGAAGGAGAAGACAGAGGGTCAGCAAATTAGGTTACACCTTCTCTCCTCGTTGTCTCTCTTTTTTTCCTTTACTTTCCGTTAAAATTATTTTGATGAAGAGAGGGAATTTAGCTTTCTAGAGAGTTCCCTGACTCCAAGTCCAGGATATTGGAGGCTGCAGAATACCGAATCTCACTCTGCTCAGAGCTGTTGTCGCTGAGGAGGGGCTAGGCGCTCACTAAACAGGGTTAAGTTGATGACAGGTAGTAACATGTTTGGAGCATCAGCCCAGTGTTCAGTCCATCCGGCTGGCTCTGAAATGCTCTCTTGCCTTGGACTTGAAACATTGCAGTTCTGCGCCTACCTCTGGCTGTGTGTGTCATGGAGTGATGATGAACTCGGTGGGCCTCCTTTCTTGCCTCTGTATGGCAGAGGGTCATTCTTGCCCTGCCCTGGCTGCACGAAGTCTGGTGAGTGGTGGGAAAGAAACCCGGACGGGTAGAGACCCGAGTGCCCCTGACACCAGTGCCACATCCTTCACGCTGTGCTCTGTCTCCAGGGCACAGGGTGTGGAAGAGGGGCGATCCCTCCCAGCCATTATCAGAGAGGCACCTTAAATTCTTACAGCCCTGGGCCCCATAGAGTTGGTGCTAGCTTTCTCTGCTGCTGCTGCTGGAATTCAATGTGCTTGGCAGCCCAGTCCTACCCGCATTTGGGCATGTGAAGGAACTAGGGCTGAGCAGATACGGAGCCCTTCCCAGACGGGGTGTGCAGTACTGGGCTGTCCCGGGAGCTATGACCTTCGAGACCCTGGTGAGCGGGGCAGACAAGAAGGAAGGAGCCTCCCCTGCCCTCAGGGTGCCTGGCACCAGGGTGAGTGGTCAGAGGCACAGCACTTCCTCAGGCCCCTGAGGACCTCTCTAGACCTAGTTCTCTTGTGCTCTTCCCTCCAAAGACAGAGGCAGGGGTGAGGCCCACAGAGGCCGCAGTTTGTTGGGTTGTCCCTCCCTCCCCATTCTGATGAGCAATGAATACAGTCCGTGCAAAAAGGAGGCAGGTGCTGGTCCAGGAAGCTGGTGTCTTGGGTTCTTTTCTCTGTAGCGCTGTGTCTGCAGAGCTGTGCTGGCTCAGGCTCCGGGCTGCCCCTGCCTCCCTGTCAGTCAGAGGGCGTGTCCACAGCACATCTGCATCCGCATCTGGGGGAAGGTTATTTTGTTTGTATCATTTCAGACATCATCATCTCAAGCTGCTGATTCATATGTTCTGTGGCTTGTAGCCCCAGACATGGCTTAGGGTCAAAGTCTGTGCCCTTTGCGGGAGAGCTTAGCCCTGCTTTCCCCCACACAGAGTTAATGTCCTGGATCTGGAGCTAGTGTCAAGACGCAACCTGCAGGGAATGGGATTTCACTGGAGAAACACATACTGGCAGATGCAGCCACACCTCAGGACTGTTCCGAGCCCACGGTGTGTGTGTGTGTCTCCTGGGCAGTGGGCTTCGTTGGCTGCGTAGACAGTGACAGGATGTTCTCACCTTGCACCTGCAAATAACTCTTCTCTGTTCTCTTTCCTCCCTTCCCTTTACCACCCCCACCCCGTGTGGGATTCTTGATGCTGTTTGTGGGTGTCTGACCCCCCCTGCTGTAGAAGGGGAGTATTGCCCCTGGGACAGAGAACTCCTACAAGGCCAGTGGCTCCGGCAGCTGTCACAGGAAGAAAGTATGGGTACACGTAAAGGTACCCGCTTTGCCCTCACCCACCTTATGCCCTGGCACCCTAGCAGCCATCCAGAATTTGCCATCAAGAGCAGGTCCCACATGAAAAGATCGGCGTTTTATAAAACAATGCTGACGGGCTTTGGCACCTGTCCCTGGGCCCAGCCTTCATGAATGGGCATGTAGACAATGGCATGTAAGACGAGGGGAGTCAGGGAGAAGGCAGAGAAGACTCTGGAAGCAGCCTTATTGAGCATTGGCCCCCATCTGTGCCCCTGGTAGGCTTTGCTGCAACTCCCCTGCTCTAGCAAAGACTCAGCCTCTTCTAATATAGAAAACCTCATGTTGCAGTCACACTCTCGTAAGTGGCGGAACCAGCATAGGTCTCATCACAAGCATAGGTGCCCAGAACCTCCCTCCACTGTGCCCTGTAACATTTCTCTGAGAAAGGAGGACATACTGGCTGAGGACTCCCTAAGGCCACATTTATGAACAGGAAGCAGAACATTATCCAGGGAGAAGGCTCACTGTCTTTTCTTTGTTGCTTAGAAGTTGAAGAAAGGCTTCACATTTTTCTCTTTAACTTACCTTCCTTAGTCCTAGGATGTTCAAACTGTTGGGAGGTTTTGCCATATTTAGCCCCATCCAACACCATGAAAGCCAACTGACCTTAGAGACATCAATCTGTGGAGACCAGCAACTCTAACGAGAGAGTGCATGCAGGGCTCCCAGCTCACATTTAACACCACGTGGTGCCCACATCCACACCTGGTGGCCCTACTGGTACTTTCTGTCCATATCACATTCTCCATTGCTTAAAAATTAAGAGGTGCCATGGTGGTGATAAAGCCAAAGCCAAATTGTCCCCTTAGATTGTGAAGAGTGGGCTCCCATCAGGAATCCCAGAGTCCTTCAGATCAGGTGGCACCTGCTCTTCCTGCCTGGAAAGCCATCCCACCTCCCAAAGCGTCCCCTCTCTAAGCTGCTGGCTGTTCTTTATTTTAACCCAACTGTGTGGCATGGTCCAAGCACCAGTGACAGGGAGCTTACGGGGCGCGGGGGCTGTATGCATATTCCTTGGGCTCTGACAGCAGGAATCATCTGAAGGATCCGCTGGCGAGTTCTCATATAGCTGCAGGGTGCCAAATGGAGTTTTCAGGAAAAGGGCTTTGACCTCAGGAAAAGCAGAGAGGTGTTGCTTTATTCCTGCCCACAAACCCCCACAGCTTTGGGATTTACAGGGTAGATCTGTGCTTCCTCTCCCAGCCATTGCCTCCCCAAACTCCTTTGTCCTTATAGCTGTGTCCCTGCCACAGACCAGCATGCAGCATGAGACCTTTTAAGGAAGGGGAATTTTTTTTTTTCTCTCTCTCTCTCTAGCTGCAAAAGATAAATACTAAAGTACCAGCAAAGTAAGTTTCTGCCCTGCATGAGTTAGCTGGCTCATGACAGAATGGTACTGTCCCATCCTACCTTTCTCTTGTCACTTGGCTTAAAGGCGAAGCTGTCAGCATGGTGGCAATAAGCACACTCTGTGTGACCACAGAAGGAACAGAACACACAGTGCATCCTCCAGGATCTCACACTGTGCTGGGTAACAGAGCCGAGTGCTCCTGACCCACGGAGATAGCCCTTCAGAGGCCACTTGTAACCTGCCCCTTTTTCTGACTTGGCATTTGGGTCCTTCAAATGCAGATGACATGAAAAGAGCATCAGAAAGGAGAGTTCTTTCTGTTTGGAGTGGAATGTATGGTTCTATTCATTGAAATTAAGAGTATAAGAGAAGCTTGGAACAACTAAGTCACATGGAACAAGTAGAAATTGTGTGTGTGCACATGTGTGCGCATGTATATGGGTGTTCTCAACTTTTGCCTCTTTCTGATTCAAACTGACCCTGGCAAACACAGTAACTTTTTTCTGTTTCCTTTCCTGTGGTGTTCTATCCCCTCCCTCTCTTGACCGTTTATTTTCTGCTTCCTTCCTCTCTGTCATCTCTCTCTTCCTCATCCCTCTACCTCTGACCTTGGCAAACTAGTCGGGAGCCAGAGGCTACAGCAGATCGTAAATCCAGCCGACCCCTTGGAGATCCAGGCTGATGTGCACTGGACACATATCCGAGAGAAAGAGGAGGAGGAGCGAATGGTCCCAACCTCTGAGTCCTCCACTTCTAGAGGTAACTGTTTCAAGATTGGTGCCCCTCAGAGCACCTTCTGTCCCTGCCTCCCCTCTCACTGGTGCAGAGGACTCTTCCATTATGGCCAAAGCCATCAGTTTGATCAAAATGTGAGCCCACGAACGATTTTATTTTCCCGATGTTAATTGTGACCATTGTCCTTAGCTGTTGTTGGAGGATATGTAAAGTTCTCTATGGGTTCAGAAATTATGAGCTCTTTCTCCATGCATGCAAAATAGTAAAATGAACTTGACCTTGGAACAACCAAGAACTTGTTTTCTTTCCCCGTATGACTAGACAAGGTGACTGTCCACTCGGTAAAATGTTCTGGTGCTTTCCCTGTATGGTGTGTCTGAGTGTGAATGTACATTGGCAGGACAGGGTGGGGGGTGAGGGGGTGGAGCAAATTTTGAACTGAAATGAAGTGTTAAGAAGAGATTTAGATCCGGGAGGCCTTTTAGCTAGCATAACGTCCAGTGCTGGGTTCTAGGTGAGATGGTCTGTGTTCCACAGTAGCATGAAGACAAACTTTAGTCTGACTTCTTCCAGAAATAGCAAGCAATACAAGGGAAGGACGGTGGCTGCTGAGGGATATGGCAGCTGCCACGCCATCCTCCCTGCCTTCTGACCACAGCATATGCACTGTCTAAATATGGATCCTTGGTGTCACCAACCTCTGACTCTCACTCGCTCATCCTTGTGAGTCCATCCAACGCCTATTGGGGCCACACACCCTGGGAGGCTCTGAGTCTACAAAGGAGGTGCTTCCTGCCTTCGTGAAATTTAGCCCTGGATAGGGCCATCGGATCCTCCCCTGCCCCAAGTCCTCACCTGTTGGCAGGACCAGCCTCTGTTAACTATTTTGCAGCAGCATAAACACTCAGCAGGAGTGAGGAGAAAGACCCTGCTGAGCAGGGACGTGGGACTGGCCTGGGCTAGCTCTGCAGCCTTGAGCCACCAATGACCCTCCCTGTGTTTTCTTCCCTTTTCTCATCCTGGATGCCCATTGTGTAGGCTAACAGCCGGATGATGACCCCTCGTTGGTGCCAGAGCAGCCTCTGGCTTGTAACATCTCTGTTTCTCTCCTGTTTGGGGCTTTAAAATGAGCTCAGCTCTCCTCCCTGGGAGTCTGCAACCCTGTGTAACTTTGTACCTGTCGTCTGTTTTAAATTCAGTGCCTGACCTTCCCTCCATACGCCGCGCAGCAGTGCAGGCCTGGCTGGAGACGGTCTCCGGAGGTAGTCTGGTGATGTTTGTTCCCTCCCCACTCACCATAACCATTCTCTCTCGGCAGCTCCGCTGGTACCTTAACACTAGAATTCTGGTCCTGCTGCTAGTGCATGCCGAGGTTGCGGGTTGGCGGGCGGGGGGGCACGTGCATGCCTCACTCAGGCAGCCCATCCTTGCATGGACCAGACACGCACCCCACGCCCTTCAGGGAAGGTCTGGAGGAGAGCCTAGAGCATAGACAGAACTGAAGTGAACTTGTTGTTATTATTATCAATAAAGGTTGGGGAAAGGCCAAAGCTAAAGGAACTTTTTCAGCGTGATTTTTAAAGTCTGTAGTAGTTCAGTTATGGAGCAGTGGGGTGTGAAGGTAGAGGAATCAGTTAATATTCCACCAAATCACCCAACTACAGAGGACGAGACATTGAGGACTCAGGGACCTATGGAAGACTCCTCAGTGAAGAGGGGGGCACAGGGAACCTCTGTGCTGAGGTGCAAGGTCTGTTTAAATACTTGGGCCAGGAGATAGCTGAGAAACCTTGGTTGTCTCTCCTGACCTTTTCTGGAGAGATGTCTCTCAATGTGGGCAACAGCCGTGCTCGGTGGGGGCCGGGCAGTTCTCTGCATTACGGGACATTTAACTTCCCTGGCCTCTGCCCTCAAAATGTCAGCCACGCAGCCTCAACCTCCTGCCCCAGCCAAAAAGTGGCCCACACAGTATCAAATAGCACTTGAAGGAGGGCAGTGTTGTCCCCTGGTTGAGAACTGTAGTCCTGGTGGTTGCTTCTAGGCTGAGTAGGATGGGAGCCCCCAGATCTTCACCACCTGCCTCTGAGAAGCCCCCTCATTGTCCTCACTCGTGGGCACCAGGCACACAAGTCACAGAGCTGCAGGGAGAGCTGGACCTGTGGTCACACCCAAGCCCTGGGAGCAGAAGCTGCTGGCCATCTCTCCTAACCAGTCAGTCTCCCAGGATGGTGGAGAAGGCTGGGGTGTCAGGACTTCCCAGCTGGCAGCTGAAACAAAGCAGAAGCTCAGTATGTCTGTGATTCCCAGCTTCCATAGTGTGTGGCAGCTTCTAGCACTCTGCACTCCATCCTAACACGGGTGAACCTCCCAGTTCCATCCCTCGAGCTGCGTTTCTCCAGCATCTGCTGCTGCTGCATTGATGTCCCTCACTTGTTTGTTTTTTGATATATATGACAATTGTTCCTTTCAAGGTACTCACATGGACTGTAGACTTAGTACCTATCTGAAATGCCTCTACAACAGGCATTCCCTAGTAGCTGCTCTGAGTTGGAGAACCACATGGGGGCCGAGGGACAGGGCCGGGGATCGGGCTATCCTGACTGGAGCTGTGCCAAGCTGAGGAGTCTTGTCATGGTCTCCTTGGTGCTCCCATCCAGGACACTTGCTGACAGAGTATAAATTACCATCTTGATGCCCAGGCACTCAGACTCATTTGAGCATACATGTTGGGCATGATGGACTTTAATGGAATGAGCCCTGGTTCCGTTTCCACTGGGTTGGAGTGACTGCCAAAGGAGAAAAATTCAAGGGGGAAAGAGAGGCCTCTGTGCCTTACCGCTTCACAAATGGTGTCATGACACCATGAGCTCGTTATCCAGATGATAGCTCAGGTTTGAGGAGGCACAGAGACTTCTGTTTGTTCCTCAGAAATCCTACTCCTGGAGTTTGACAAACTGAAACAGCAATGTGATCATATAAATGCTTTAAACCTATGGAAATAATGGAGTAGTGTTACCCCCGGTACTTTTCCCAACAAATGCCACCATCACAGGAAAGCATCTTGGCATTACCAGCTCCATGGGCTGTTCTGGTATCTCAAAAGGAGGGGTGTGATATCCACTATGTGCCAGCCTAGAACTTATTCTGGAATTCTCCCATCTTTCCACAGAGTCCATCCCAAACCTATTTTGTATGCTTCCCCAGAATCAGATGCAAGTCATCACCTTATTTTTAATAAGCTTGAGTATTCAAAAGGGGTGGTAAGATAGTTATACAGCTTAAGGAATTATTACTATTGTTATTTATTTTCTGAGAGAATACAACTGTGCCTGTGAGGAGGGGCAGGGTGGGGGGAATGTGCAGAGGGAGAGAAGATCTTAAGCAGACTCCCCATCCCAGTGGGGAGTCCAGTGCGGGGCTGGGTCTCACGACTCTGAGATCATGACCTGAGCCGAAAGCAAGAGTCAGATGCTTAACCGACTGAGCCACCCAAGTGCCCCAAGGAATTTTTTTTTTTTAACAAAAACACCTGTGACTAGGTCAAGAAAGGACACAACCCCAGCATCTTCAAAGTGCCCCTTCCCTGTCTTCCCCACCCCACCTCCAAAGGCAGTCACTTGACTTTCCTTGACTTTCTTCATACTCAGACCTTAGTGTCCACTCTCAGTGTTTGTGCCACACTCACTGTGCACGTGCTTCCAGAAACAGGGATACAGATTCACAAGGCTGGATGATAAGGAGACCAGTGACCTGAGAGAGCCTCTCCTTGAGAGGCTTTGAAGAAATCTACCCAGCTGTGCCACAGCCCATACTTCTGCTGCCCGCTGCCCCCCTGGGCTTTGAGCCTCCAGCTCCAGGATGTATACATCTAAGCATGAGCCCTTTTCCTGAAGTGAGAACCTCTAGAGGTGTTTGGAGAGTGGCTGTGTTTAGAACCCTGGAAGATGCCCTTAGAGCCCCTGGACAGACGGGTCTGTGACTCCCAGGTAATGCTGGGATCTCACAGCATCCTTTAAAGCAGCCCGTGTGGCTTTCTTAATTACTTTCTCTTAGTCCAAACTGTTAGTGCGAGTTTCAGGTATGCTTGGGAACAGGTCTGAGAGAGAGTATGTGTGTGTGTGTGTGTGTTTAGGGGCTGGTTCATCCTGAGGAATATGAAGTCGACGCATGCTTTGCCTTGTTCAGCAGCACCGAAGGGCTACTCTTGAGTCTAGAATATGAACTTTACATACCCTCCCACACACTTTAAAAGAAATTTCTCTGAGTTACCACAAGCAAAGCTGCAACCCCTGCGGGTTGAAAGGGGAGGTCGTTGCCTTCATGTGTCCCGTCAGTCACTCACCCAGCAGGGGTCTCCCCTGCACACAGCACCGCACCTGCTAGATGAGCAGCATGGCCATGAGCATATCACCTAAAGTGTCTGGCCCCGGATTCCCCTCCAACCCTCTAGCATATATGGTGAGGATTAAGACTTGTGGCATGTGACAAGGTCCAGAGAGTGCTGGCATGAGAGTCATTGTTGCTGCTGGATCGGCAGCTGGTGTCTGTCTGCTGGGCCTGGGGAAGCAGCACATCCCCTCTCTCCTTACAGGGAGGAGCTTACAGCAGCCTCGGGGACAGGGGGGTGGCCAGAGCCAAAGCTGCTCTCTTGCACTGGGCCCGCTGGAGCAGAACCGAGCTAGCACCATGTACTTGGTCCCAGGCCCTCACCAGCACCCCAAATCCAGACCCCTCAGTCCCTCTGCCCCCTTCGTAAGGTCTTCACCTGGCAGCCCTGGGAAGACCACCATCTGTGTACACCTGCACAGGCAGGCTCTCCATCTATCTGTCCTTTTCTTCCTTCCTTTGAACATTTCTGCTTTACAGTCCCATTTGATGAGAATGACCTGGAGGAAGATGTGGACTCGGAGCCAGCAAAGATAGAAGGGGAGGCCACAGAGAATGGGGACACAGGGGACACTGGTGCTGAGCTGGACGATGGTACGGGGAACCTCAGAGCCTCCTCTCTGCACTGCGCTAACCACCCTCTTCCCCCCAGTGTGTGACTGAAACTCCGGAAAGATAATAGACGTTAAAGCAAAAAGCAAGGCGCTCAGATGAGACAGCTGTTAGTTAGGTCTGCTGGTCACGCCCCTTGTTCTGGCACTAACCTGAACACATGTGGCCCCGCCCCTTGGCCACTGTCCAGCATAGCCTGCGTTCAGTAAGCTGTGCTTGGGAAACCAAGCAGCTTGGGTACCCTGTGGAAGGTCTGTGAATGTGCTCAGAGGGGACCTACAAGGAGATGGCATAAGAATGACAGTCTGGGTGGCTGGGGAAAGGGGGCAGAGAGCAGCATGAGAAATGAGTGGAGTCCAGGCAGGACTGGGGAGTGCAGACTGTGGGATTGAAGAAGCACAGACCTCAGGTGAGGCAGACCCTTCCCAGGCGCCGGTGCTGTGTTTCACTCTGTTGTGGCCCGTCAGGTGCTGTCGGGTGCATATAGAAAAAGAATGAATGGAGCTCCGCAGGCTTCGGTGAGAGCACAGTGTTGCAGAGAATAAGGCACTTTGGGCCGGGGCTCAGGAGCTTGGTGGGCCCGGTGGGCAGAGCTTAACAAGGACACAGGGCCAGGTCCTGACCTCAAGCAGTGACACTGGTTTGGCTGCTCTCGGGTACAGGGATGCCAGGGCCTCACTCGGGTGCTGTGCTCTCCCTTCGGCCCGCCAGATCAGCGCTGGTCTGACGGGATCCCATCGGATGCTGAGACAGATCTCCGCGTGCAGCACCAGGCGGCGGTAGAGGCAGACCTGGAGCTGAGGGTCTCAGAGAATGAGGAGGAGCCACCTGAGGTCACACCAGGGCATCCGGAGAGAAGTAAGTCTGTTGTCTCAGGAGAAACTGCTTCCAGAATTCCCGCTGAGAGCCCACCATGGTGAGAGCAGCCCCGAGGACACAGGTCACGGGAGCGGAGCTGCAGCAGAGTCGGCATGATGCATGCCAGCCCCCAGGTGTCTTCCTGCCCCTGCCCCATGCAGGGACCCTGCACATGACTTCTCTGACAGCCCTTTTGTGTGTGCTCTGGAGCTGTGAAAGGGTGGGAGGTCCGTCTCCTAGCTGCACACAGATCACACACTAATGACACTGGCAGAAGTGGCATCAGGGACACTCTGGAAAGCATTTTCCTTCAGAGCCGGCTGGGAGAGGAGCCCTCCGAGAGAAGGGAAGGTGGTAGAGCTTCCTCTTACATACCCTGTTTCTGTTTTTTTCAGGTCTCACCTGGGTCCCCAACCCTGCCCTGTCCCCTGAGGAGCAAGCTGGTCTGCGGTCCCCAGGCCACAGCCCTAAGGCAGAGGTAAGGGCTCGGAGCTCACTGTGGGGGACAGGACCAATGGGACCCTGAGTGCACATAGTAATTCCTTTGTCTTAGGGCCCGGATGTGAACCCACTTTTTGATTCTTGTGTTCAGTGCGGCTGCTGAAAACAGGAGTGGCAGAGGGGATGCAGCTCAGTCCTCACCCTGGGCAGTGTCCCTAATCCTGCATGGCCCCAATCTAAAACCTGGGTCATCCCACCACTGTGTCACTCTGCTATCATACCATACCATTTTAAAAGTAAATGTATTTTTAAGTTAAAGCAATAATTTTTATGGAATCTTTGGTTTGATGTGATGATGCATTTGTTTCTTAGTGTTATGTTAAAATGAATGTTTGAGTTTTAAAATAAAAATATGCATCTGAATTACCAGTGGTTTGTGAGCCACACATTGGAGAATGCTCCGTAAACAGATCGCAACAGTATGTCCTAGGGAACATGTTTCACAAGATGTGATCTGGAGGACAGATCGGGGAGGGAGGCCAAACTCAAGACCTACATTGACTTGATTTGGTCTTTGGGATTCTAAGAAGCAAGATGAATTTGGTGATTTCATCCATGAAATTGGGGAAGCTTCACTGAGACTCATGGGTGGGGTGATATAAGGTTCTTACAGGAATATCTGGGTCTTTGAGCTTCCTGGGATGGGCAATTCGTAGTATAGACTGTATAAAAATAGCTGTTTTAAATCTTAGAGTGTTGGTCCCTATTTTCATATATCAGAGACGTAGAGCTCATGGGGTCTGAAGTCGGAAGAGCAGAATCTATTAGTGTGCCGTGGCCAGTGTCCATCTCAGTGCACAGAGAATTTAAGATGTGTTTAGATGAACCAAACCCTGAAAGCTGAGTCTGTTCAACAAAGTGGAGTGGCTTTAAAAATGGAACAAGTAGGGATCCCTGGGTGGCGCAGCGGTTTGGCGCCTGCCTTTGGCCCAGGGCGCGATCCTGGAGACCCGGGATCGAATCCCACGTCGGGCTCCCAGTGCATGGAGCCTGCTTCTCCCTCTGCCTGTGTCTCTGCCTCTCTCTCTCTCTGTGACTGTCATAAATTAGAAAAAAAAAAAAAATGGAACAAGTAGGGCAGCCCCGGTGGCGCAGCGGTTTAGCGCCGCCTGCAGCCTAGAGTGTGATCCTGGAGACCCTGGATCGAGTCCCACGTCAGGCTCTCTGCATGTGCCTGCTTCTCCCTCTGCCTGTGTCTCTGCCTCTCTCTGTGTGTGTCTCTTTAAATAAATAAATAAATAAATAAATAAATAAATAAATAAATAAATAATCTTTAAAAAAATAAAAAAATAAAAATGGAACAAGTAGAGCAGAAAGTGAGAACCACTCTCCTGGAGCCATTTAAATGACAGCCTAAAGAACAAAGAGAAGAATTAGTTTCATAAACACAGGCTGTTTGTGAGAGTGCTCCCAGTGGGTTTCTACTGACCACTGAACCCTGCCTTCTTAGCAGCTTCTATCTTCCTTTTCTGCAGGGGGCCCAAATCCCACTTGCCTCTGTTGTCACCAAGGCGAAATTGCCCGAAGAGAGCCTTTTCCCCAAGCCTTTGCTCCCCAAAGTGAAGCCCAAGGTGGAAGTGCCCTGCAGTCAGAGAGCTGCATGCTCCCCCATCCGTTCTCAGCCGGTGGCTCTGCCAGAAGCCAGGACACCTACCTCCCCAGTGAGCTCACAGTGCCTGTCGCCTTTGGCCACCTCCACCCCCACCAGCACCCAGCTTCCCATTTGCTCCCAGCCTCAGCCTTCCTCTGAGACCACGGCCCCATCCCCCACCAAGTCCCCCATACGGCTCCAGCCTGTTTCGGCCAAAACATCTATCCCAGTGGTTCCCCTCCCCTTGAAGAACCAAGGGGACACCAAGGACAGGCTGGGCAGCCCTCTCGCTGTGGATGAGGCCCTGAAGCGGAATGACCTGGTGGCAGAGTTCTGGATGAAGAGTGCTGAGATCCGCCGCAGCCTCGGGCTCACACCTGTGGATCGGAGCAAGGTGTATGAGCCCAGCTTCCCTTCACCTGCCTTTAAACCAGTGTCCCTAAAATCCTATGCAGTGGAGAAGTCTCCTGAGGGGGAGGGACTCCAGCTTCTGAAGCCTCCACCTGTTCCTAAGAGACTAGGCCTGCCGAAGTCAGACGATGACCAGCCCTTCCTGCCAACCCCCAAGTCCCCGTCGGACAGAGAGCTGAAAAGCTCCCAGGAGGAGAGGAGAGATCTGTCGAGCAGCTCCGGGCTGGGCCTTCACGGGAGCTCCTCCAACATGAAGACTTTGGGCAGCCAGAGCTTCAACACATCAGACTCCACCATGCTCACTCCCCCTTCAAGCCCACCCCCACCACCACCCCAAGACGAGGAGCCCGCAACTCTTCGGAGGAAGCCATATCAGACTCATGAGCATAAGGATGCCAAGCCCAAGGCCTCGGTGATTCCACCACCACCACCTGCGTCGTTCATGCGGGCCCCCCGGGAGCCCACCCAGCCCCTCCAAGAGGAGATGCGGAAGTCGTTTGTGGAGAGCGTGGATGAGATCCCATTTGCCGATGATGTGGAGGACACCTATGATGACAAGACCGAGGACTCGAGTCTCCAGGAGAAGTTCTTCACACCCCCCTCCTACTGGCCCCGCATGGAGAGGCCCCTCCACCCACCCCTAGCCAAGGAGAATGGTAGGTTGCCTACTCTGGAGAGTGGGGTCCAACCACAGAAGAGGGGCCTGCCCTTAGTCTCTCCAGAAGCCAAGGAGCTGGCTGAGGAGCGCATGCGAGCCAGGGAGAAGTCTGTGAAGAGCCAGGCGTTGAGAGACGCTATGGCCAAGCAGCTGAGTAGGATGAAGGAAATGGAGATGGCGGCTGGGACCTCCAGTCCCCCAGGAGGCACCTCCCACAAAGCCTCCTCTGTTCCCTCCAAGGGCAAAGACCTCAGCCCCGAGTCCCCTAGACGCCCAGTTCTCAAAGGCCCCAGGGAGCCTGCCCTGAAGCACGAAGCCACTAGTGAGGAGGTCCTCTCCCCACCATCGGACTCAGGGGGCCCAGATGGTTCGGTCACCTCATCCGAGGGCTCCAGTGGGAAGAGCAAGAAGAGATCGTCACTCTTCTCCCCCCGCAGAAACAAGAAAGAGAAGAAGTCCAAAGGTGAGGGCCGGCCCCCGGAGAAGCCCAGCCCAAGCCTTCTGGAGGAAGCTGCTGCCAAGCCCAAGTCCCTGTGGAAGTCGGTCTTTTCCGGGTACAAGAAGGACAAAAAGAAGAAGGGTGATGACAAGTCCTGTTCCAGCACCCCTTCCAGCGGTGCCACTGTGGACTCTGGCAAGCACAAGATGTCCCCTGTTGTGAGAGCAGGTAGGTCGACACCAAGGGACCCCTCCTAGGGCAGGGCATGAGGGGGCTGTCCTCCAGCCATTGGTTTTTCTCAGAAAATCCATTGCTTGTGCTGCATCCCCGAGGGTTCCTAGGAGCTGTGCTAACAGGGTGAGGAAGAAGGAAATGGAACCGTGGGCTTTCAGTGCATATTCTGCAGGATAGAATAATTCTAAAACTCAGCTTGGAACTGAGTAAGGGAGACTTGGGAGGCCTGTGCCCTTTCTCAAGCCACATGACGCCAGAGGAGGGCCTGATTCTGAGCAAGGTGGAGTGGTGGCCCCTTGGGGAGGAGCAAGGCTGGCTGTCTTTGCAGCATCATCTACGTGGTGTTGGCCCTGGGTTAAGAGTCACTCGAACTGGAAAGAAATCCAACCTCTGTCCTGCTCCCCTGGGTGGCTCGGGCGAGTGTAGAAATCAGGAAAGCACTGTGGTGTCCTCGATTTGTCTCTCATTTCCATCCCCTTAGAGCTGCACCTGCGGCGCCAGTTGAGCTTCTCAGAGGACTCAGACCTGTCCAGTGATGACCTCCTTGAGAGGTCCTCCCAGAAGTCCAGGCGAGAGGTATGTAGGCCCTATGGCGGGGCTCCAGAAGGGGTCAAGCCTAGCCCAATCCTCTGTGTAGGATTGATTGGTCTTTGATGAGGTGGAAGAAAAGGAAAGCAAATCTCAAGCCTGGGGTGAGTGCGCACCCTCTTCTGAGCTCCCAGCAGATACAGCTGAATCCTGAGCCCAGCCCAGGCTCAAGTAAGAGACACATAAAGGGAGTTCTTCTCTTGGGCTCTTTCTTTTTAGTGAACATCTGGGGCTTATTTGTTTCAATGGCAAGAGTTCCTGTGTTTCATTCTTGGGAAGAAGACAGAGACGTTCCATGCTCAGAGATTCACTAGATTTTCAGCAAGCTACCGGCATTGTCCTCAGAAACCCCATGTGGAATAGCATCCACCCATGTCCAGAGTGACAGGAGGAAGAAGTTGCTCATGCCCCAGAGTCTGGAGGACGTTGGGACAGGCACGATGAATTTAGCAGTAGACAGAGGTTAAGTCAGTGAAGAATGTGCCCTATCATCCTGTGTGCTCTGTACATTTGTGGGTTAGAGAGGAGTGTTTGCTCTTAAAGAACCAGTCCAGGACCCTGACCTGGATTCTGTGCCAAGTAGGGCACTGTGGATCGGAACTCATCCCTTGCAAGGCCCCAGACTGGGGAGATAATATGGCCACGCAGCCCTCCTGAGAAGCAAACCCTCAGTGTGGAAGGGCTCTTGGGTATTTATTCCATTTTCTGATTTCCAAGGGCTCTTGTAGCTCTGTGTGGATACAGTGAGGTTAAAGAAGGGAGAGGGGTTAGAGAAAGTTCTAACAGGGCATCTGTGCCTCAGAGACAGTAGTGGGTTGGGGCCTACAATTCAGAAAGGCCTGGGCAGCACCTGAGGGCAGTTGAAACCACACCATCTCCACTGTGTGGCCACAGGACGGACGGTGAGTGTCCCAGGCGACAGCCCAGCTATTTTCAGCTCTCTTTTCTGAATGAAAAATGTCCCCAGAACATCATATACCTTCTTCACAAGGTTCTCTGGGGCTCGGATTTGAGTCTGCCCTCCCCTGAGCCCTGCACATGTCTGTTAGGTGAAGATGGCTTCTGCACCTGTTGCCAGTCCCCTGTCCCTGCCCAACCCAGCCTTTAGCAACCTGACACACTGGAGGAACCCATCTCTTAGTCCTCTCCTCCTTGGTCTCTTGATCTCTCTGGGCCGTGCCAGCTGTTTACCTATCCACTATCCTAGAAGAACGTGTGAACAGTCAGGCCTCCTACCTGCCCTGCCATGTGCAGAGGCAGCTTCCACCTGCCCCAGCCCGACCAGCTCAGAGTCCAGCTCTCCCCATAGGCAGCAGCACTACTATCAAGAGTGGCCCTGAGAACTGTTTCTGGACATGTACATGGGTCCCTAAGCACGTGCTGACTCTGGGAACTGGCACTGCTTTGGGAGTTTGGGGAGCCAGGGGGGGTCGGCGAAGGACAGTGTGGTCTGGGGTTCACTTGGCCTCTGTTCAGCCAGTTCATCTCCTGTGGGTCAGAAACTCCCTCTGTGGTGGGTTTTGTGGTCATTCTCGCCACTATTTCTCTATCATGAATGAAATGTCATGGTGGGACACCGAGTGCTAGGGTGCCCTGCCGGCTGTACCACACTGTCTTCTGGCAGTGTGGGTCCCTGAGGACAGCCTCCCCTGGGGCCTTGCTGGCCTGAGGCACGTAGCGAGCTCTTCCCCTTCTGCATGACCAACAAGCCACAGACCCCATTCCTGGAATCCCAGAATCAGAAGCCTTGGGGGCCTCACGGTCCACGTGTGTCCCACAGAGGCTGAGCAGGGAATTTAAAGACAAAGCTGAACCTGCACAGGTTGACCTGAATCCTGTGGGGTCAGGCTGGGTGAGAGCAGGCACTGTATTTTCAAGGATGGAAGCCAAAGCAGGAAAACAAAACAAAAACAGCCATGCCAGACTCTTTGGAATAATTTAGTGAATTTGATCCTGGATGGTATAATATATGTAGATGTGCAGAGATTCCATGTCAATGCTAACTTCTTGTAAGACATTAAGGGACTATAGTATTGTAGGAAAATGTGTCTGTTCTTAAGAAGTACATGCTAAAATTTGTAGGCATAAAAAAATGCCTACAGATGATTCAGGAAAAAAAGATTATATATATCAAATATGTGGCAAAATGCTAACATTTAGCAAATCTAGGTAAAGATGTTCATTGTCCTTTTCCAACTTTTCCTACGTTAGAAATTTTTCAGAGCAGTAAGTGAAGGGAGTGGGGACACCTAAAGGGACAGTGGGGTTGGAACTCAAGAGGGAGCATCTTGCTAACACGCCTGACCCTAGCAGCTGGGTAAATGGTTCCTTTTGCATCACATACCTGTCTCCAAGTCAGGCGTCTGTGAAACAGGTGCCTGAGTTTTCTTTCATTAAAAAAAAAAAAACAAAAAACAAAAACACCTCAAATTGAAAATGACGTTTTTATTGAAAATGTTTATTTGGAAAAATTAAGATAACACAGATTAAATATATACATCACCTCTAACCCTACCAACAAAAGATCATCTTCATTCACCTCTTTTCTTTCCCTCATCTGACTTTACATACAAGTGATGCACTGTGTCTTAAGCCCTGGGACCCAGCCACGGGCGTGTGCGTTTGCTCTTGAATAGACTGGCCCTGGTCCCCGTCTCACAGCAGAAGCAGCGGCCCTAGCTGGCCTCATGCTCTCAGCACAGCACAGATGTGTCATAATTTCACCCTTCTAGTCACTACTGACTGAAACCATGCTAAGTAGGGCGCTGTGGATCTGACCTCCTCCATCAAGGATTGCCCCCACCCCCTTGACTTTGTACAGCAGCCACAGGTGCCCACATTCAGTGCTGTTCCTCAGTTGTGGTTACATTGTTCCTATGGAGTGGCTCACATGCTGCTTGGGGAATTATCTGTCTTCTGTTTTTTTAACTGACTGTTCTAATAATGAGATTCATCCTTTCACTCTGGTTTGTGGGAGAGATGAGTCAGTCTGAGGCAAGACATATGGACATATGTGCCTGATATATTTTTGGTGAATATCAGTTATTTATGCTACTTAACACCCCTTTCACAGTGTATAATCAAGAAACGGCCCCCAACCCCATCCAAGATTTCTTTGCCAGCAGAGACAGAATCCTCTAGAAGAGAACCTTAGTGATGCTGCTCAGTATGCTCTGCATCTGTGTTTCTGTGTCCCTGGCAACAGGAATTTCCCACCACCTGTGCCCCCTGCAAACACTGAGCTGAAAGTCATCTGAATTTCCACAAATGATTGGGTTACTGAAGGAGAAATAGCATCTATACCCATATATTTGAATAGCTTTATTATACCCAGGGGAGAGTGAAAAGAAAAGAGAGAAGATTTGAGGCATAGCGAGGAAGAGCCGTCTTCTCAGTAGAAAAGTGAACCCAGTCCTTATTCAGAAACTGGGGTTCACTGGCCTCTGCTGCTAGGATCTGAATCCCCCGGTTCCTCACTTCCGCAGTCCTGTGTGATGTTGTGAAAAATAATCATGTGTTTTAGTCTTTAGTCTTCCGTGTTTGTTTTAAACTTCTGATTTTGCTCCATTTCTGTGTTCTAGTTTTAATTTTTTTAATTGTTATTATTACTATTCTGTTTTGTTTTCCGTTGCCATTCCCTTAAAAGTCGGTTTATGTACCACACGCCTTGGCATTCAAGAGATCATATCCATCAAAGGTAGTGTCTCATTCCCATGGCTGGTCATTGTTGCATGCATGTCTGTGATTAACCACCCGGAGCAGCCCCCAGCCCTGGCTCTCCAGCCACATCCTCACTAACTGTTCACACATGCATGGAGCACTAGCAGACACTGGCAGCAGAACATTCTTGAGCCGTGTCATGGCGGAGGAAGGTGAGATCCCCTGCTCCTGACTGGCTGGAGTGCACGTGGTCATCTTACTCCAGGGCCGCCCCTTTGGGACTGGGCACCAAGGAGTAGGGAGTTCACGAGCCCTCAGCTCCATGCCTTGCAAGGTGAAAGGCTGAGGGCACCAGAACACTACAGTGATCCTTTAGGACTTACCTGCTCAGCTGGCCCTCCAGTGTCAATTGAGCTCTTAAAGATTATTAGACTAGACTCCTGAGTTGAATTCAGAAGTCTCTTTTAAAGTCTTTCAAAGACTGTCTCTCTCTTTTTTTTCCCCATGGAGGAAATAAAGAAGACATTAGGAATAGAGGTCTCTTAGTGGTTGGTCAATGTTCACACGAGGCACCTGACACTGCCTTGCACCGTCAGTGCCCACGTTTGCAGGTGGGGCTGCTCAAGCAGTTGTAGGCACGAATGTGCCCTGGATCTGGCCTGTGGCCTCCTTAGGGCCTGAGAGCGGCGGCTGGAACCACCCCACCAGACCGCCTTCCCACCTCCTCTCCGTGGCCCACCCCTGCCTTCTGTGCAGGCCAGGGAGGCAGGCCAGCTTCACCTCTGTATCTCCCTTCTTCAGACTGTACTAGTTAGTATGGGGTTCGTGCACTTAAAATAGAAGCACCGCTATTTTCTCTACTTCAGATGTTACTTCTTAGAGAACCTTATAAATATCACTCATCTGAAGGAAGTAGCATTCCATATGTAACAAGAAAATGAAAGGATCCTGATTTTTCTTTTCCTTTCCCCTGTATGCCTCCCAGAAGCAGGAAAGTCTTAAGAGCAGACATCCTTCCAGGGAAAACGTGTGATCTCTGAGATAAAGGAGCACATGACACTTGGTCCACCGAACTTCCTAACAGTCAGGCCCCACTCAGCATCCTGTCCCCATCACAGTGACAGCGGGCAAGTAGCTCACCTGTAGATACGTGGCATTCAGGGCTCAAGCAAGGACCTGTGTCACTGAAGCCTCTGGCAGAGCCGCAGCCTGGCAGCGTGTCCTGCAGGCCCTCTGCGGAGGGGCAGCTCCCAGCCAGGGTGCCCCCGCTGCCCCCTGCCCCCTGCCAACCAGTGCTCAGACCCAGCCCGGCCTGCTGCCCCTGACTGAGGACACCTCTCTCATTCCCTCCAGCCAAGAACCTACACAGAGGAGGAACTGAATGCCAAGCTGACCCGGCGTGTGCAGAAGGCAGCTCGTAGACAGGCCAAGCAAGAGGAGCTGAAGCGGCTGCACCGAGCACAGGTGAGATCCCTGAGTGGGAAGGAGCATCCTCCTCTCCAACACTGTGCTTGTCCTTGTCCATGTTGCAGGAGGGTAAAGAGGACAGAGCAGAGGTAGATGGGGTGTCCCTGACGCTGGAGAGGACAGCCTTATCATGTCAGCCTCTGGCTTGATGCAACTGCAAAAGCCTCGTTTTTGTGGAATTATTGGTAGAAAAGGAAGAGCCAGGCTTTGAGGTTCCTAAATTCCTTGCTCTGTAAAATCAACTAGTTCAGTTGTGATAACTATTTCAAGAGATGATCTGTGACTTGTCAGCCTCTGGTGGGCCTGAGATTTCCAGGTCAGAGCTATCCTCCAGGCATCAGCCTCTATCTTCAGGCCTCATAGGCCCTAGACCATTCCAGATTGTCTTTCTGGAACAAAAAATAATTTTCCTTTTTTTTTTTTGAGGATTTTATTTATTTATTCATAAGAGACACAGAGAGATCAAGGCAGAGACACAGGCAGAGGGAGAAGCAGGCTCCCTGCAGGGAACCCGATGCGGGACTTGATCCTGGGATTCCAGGATCACATCCTAAGCCTAAGGCAGACGTTCAACTGCTGAGCCACCCAGGTGCCACAAAAAAATAATTTCTTCATATAAAGTACTAAAAGATATCTAAATACAATATGTTTTTTAATGAAATTGTGTGTGTGTATAGTTGTATTTGTATTAGTACACTAATCACAAGCTGTAAACAATGAGAAACGCTAACAACAAACCCAAATGCCAAGATGCTCCTCTGAATTCCATGTTTAGCAAGCATCAAAAACCAATCGTTTAGTCCCTTTCTTGAACCTTACTCTGTATCCACATTCTCTACATTGACTGGATCCCTGGATTTTATTTCATTTTCTCTGTGCCTTTTTCCAGATGTATGTCTTTGCCTACTGTTTTGGGAATTGAATGTGGTATCTATGTATTAGTCTAGTATCTATGATTAGTCCCCACGTAGTGCAGAGAAACTTCTCACTGTGAGCTTCCAAACAGATTCTGGTTTGGCATTGTGGAATCTGGCATTGCTCCATTCTAGATTTATTTTTTTATTATTTTTTATTTTTTTTTTAGCCTTAGAGACAGTATTTCTGCAGTAGCCTCCCGGAGCCCCTGGTAGTGCTTTAGCAGCCTCGAGATTAGCAGGTCTTAGAGGGATGTGGCGCGTCAGTCCTTCCAGTAGGAGCTGACATCACCTCCGGTCTCTGAACAGCCCTGCAGAGGGCTGGACAAGCACCCTCATGCCATGGTGCTTACTAACGATGGCCCCAGGGGATTTGGTGCAGGGGGTCTTTACACCACACTCTGGGCAAAGCTTTTCCAAGTTCTGGACCTAATCTGTTTTTCTCCCTGTTTGTGTTTGTACAGTTTAGCAGTCCTCCTGAAACTAGGAGACAGGAGAGAACGATGGGTGCTTACACTGTCCCACTCTCCCCACAGATCATCCAGAGGCAGCTGGAGCAGGTGGAGGAGAAGCAGAGACAGCTGGAGGAAAGAGGGGTGGCCGTGGAGAAGGCACTCCGTGGTGAAGCAGGTATTGTCCAGGTCTCCTTTGTGAGGAGGTTGGTTAAGCCCCCACCCCACCCCCTATGGCCACAGGCTAGTTTTATGTCCCCTTATCTGGAACTCAGCTTCTCTTCCAGCAGGGTTCTCTGGGGCCCTTCATCACTAATATTGGGGCCTCTATTAAACAAAGGAAAAGGAAAGCATCTCTATTTGGAACTGCCCTGGGGCCTGGGCTTGTTCTTCCACCCTGTCAGAGGGTGGCCATCTAGCTGTAGAACGAAGTCAGTCCACTCCACATGTTGATGGCAAGCACTGGGCCGCCTCCCCTCTTCTCTGCCCTGCCTCCCTCCCACATCATTTCCTCTAGAAGAAAATAGCTAGGATGAGGGACACTGTACCACAAGGAGCCATCACAGAACTGCATGAGTGGGGTCCCTAGCCTGCTCCCCACAACCACCTCCTCTGTTTAGCTTTTTGGGCTCCCTCTCCTGCTCAGACTACACTGAGAATGGGAGGACCCATGCTGTACAGAGCCCTAGCCACATCCCATGTGCAGAGCACACAGGCTTCCCTGCCAGAACGCAGGATCTGTGTCATTTGGGGCAGGGTGAACAGACTCAGGGGACGGTGGCGAGCCAGCACAGTAGACAGCAGGGAATGGCTGTGCGGGCCATATGCTCGGTGGCTGCCGTTCCCAGAGAAGAGCTGCAGAATGCAGTGCGGTCATACCTACTGCCGGTCCAAGGAGCCCATAAGGTGACTTCAGCAGTTGGGGACTCAGGACACAAGGAAGTACCTGAGTCATCTGGTCCCAAGGGCCCAGGAGGAAGCCCTTTAAACCACTGGGTCAGCCCCAGCCAGAAGCCCCACTCTGGAGTGGTTGGCCTCTGCTTTCTCCAGAGTCCATGAGTGTCAGCCAGACTCTGGACGGGGAAGCTTCCATCTCATAGGGAGCACAGGCCTCCCGGCTCAGCCTTCAGGTTGTGAGGCTAGGGATAAAGAAAGGAGGTGACCTAAGTTTGCAGTGGCCCTTATTCTTTTTTCTGGTGTGGCAGAGGGGCAGGGGTGCCTACACCTCCTGGCAGAGAGGCTCTCTGTAAACTGAGGAACCAATAAGAGGCAGCCAGGAATGGGGCCGGTTGCTGCCACTCGATCTTGCAGAGCTGACACCTCACAGTAGTATGTGCCTGATGTGAAGATGAATTCATAGGGCTTGGCAGGGGTAGAGTCCAGGTTCAAGCATAGAAGATCTTTCCAGGCCCTTCGAGATGGGATGGGGGAGAAAGATGACATGAATGAGGATGTGACATTCTCAGCTTTGTGCTTTACCTGATGCTGGAGTGACTGCTTGAAGCCTGGGCCACCAAACGACATGCAAAAAGGCGAACCACTGAGCAACCTGTAAGCCAGAAGCCTGGGATGTATGACTACAAGGAAGCACTGGCCCTCGTGTCAATGAGTGGAGATTCAGGTTCACCTAAGGGAGTCTCTAGGCTTCCAGATGAAGCTGTGATGTCCCCCACCATCCTGTTTTGGCTTCCTGCCCTGCGTGTGCTTCTTTGGCCTCCTCAGTTAAATCTGACCACCTGGTGGGAGTTAGCCCAAGCCCCCCAGGGATGCCCTGCCCGGCTGTTATCAGGACTCACAGGGCCCAACCCTGTTGCTTTCTCTTCTTGCAGATGTCAGGAGGGAGCCTTGGTCCATCTTCATTCCTTCTTACCCTTTCCCACAGATTACTCCTGCCTAGATGGAAAGTGAGGGATAGATCTTCCAACACGTCAGACTAACTCAACAGGCTTGCACACCTCCACATCATTGTTAGCCTAAGTCCTTAAGGAAGACAGTCTGCGCATCCTCCTCACAGGGTTCTGAGGTTCAGGTGGGCCGCCCCAGGGTCGGTGATTTCTATAAAGCACTTGTGCACCTGTTGGATGCCTTGCAGTTTGAGACTGTGGCATTGCTTCGGTACTTCTGTAACAGGATGTGTTGTTCAAGCTGCTGACTGCCCAGGGGTCATAGAAACTACCCTTGAAGATTGGTGTGGGAGATTGCCAAAATTCTCCTTTCTAGTTGTTTAGGTAAATTGCCTTTTCATAAAAATATGCAACCAGGATTTCATCTAAGTCAGTGGTTTTCAAACTTTGTTTCTTAGCAGAAGAACCCTTTATACAAGCCAAATTGTAAGTTCAAGTTTAAATCAAAAAGAACCACTCTAATGTTGGAAAGCACCAGTTTGGAAATACAGGTTAGAGCAGAGAACTGCAAGTGATAATAGGCCTCAGCCTCCAACCCATCCCTGGGGCCTAGTGTAAAGAACATCCTGATAACGCAGAGGGATTTGCCAGAAATGACAACAGTGTTTTAATAGTTCACTGGGAAATCTCAGGATACTTGCAGTTTAAATTACCTGGAACCTAGAAGCTGAAGGTGGGAGCAGTCGGAATTGTTTACAGTTGAATCACTAGTAAATCTAGTAGCAGTTCATATTCCTTATAAAGAGTAGATCTCAGAGAAGTGCTCCCAAGCATGCAGTGGACTTACCCTCCTCAGGGATACACTGTGACAGGAGCTGCTCTGACAGGCCGGGTGTCACTGAGTGATGGCTCCCCAGGCGGCTGTCCTGTACGGGTGTTCGAGAGCACTCTATTTACAGGCCAGAATTTAAATAAATATGTAAGGTATCCTGTTCCCTAACATTTTCAGGGAGTACAGATACTTGCACCTGGAGGGCAGAAGAAACTTGGTCCTGAGAGCCTCACAAAAGCAAGTTTACCTGATTGATGCATTGATGGTCTTCAATAGGTTAAAGTTGGCATATCAAGCTTTTGAATGTAGAGTGTCTTGTGTAAGTTTCAAAGGAATTCAGAGTATTTGTGAATCAGGTAGTTGGGAGACCACTGGAGTACCACTCAAAGAATGCTAAGGTCTCACAGAACAAAGTGTTTGAAAACCACTGTTGTCCAAACTCTTGTAAGCAGAGCTTTATCAAAGAACCTTCATCCAAATACAAATTTGTCCTGTTCTTAAAGACAGATTTTGGTAGCTCCCTTAGATTTCCCCATGATGCATTTGGGAAAGTCTCAGGATACAGTAGCTCGTACCATAAGAATAGATTTCCAGGCGCAGCCCAGGTGGCTCAGCGGTTTAGCACTGCCTTCGGCCCAAGTTGTTATCCTGGAGACCTGGGATCGAGTCCCACATCAGGCTCCCTGCATGGAGCCTGCTTCTCCCTCTGCCTGTGTCTCTGCCGTTCTCGCTTTCACTTGCTCTGTGTCTCCCATGAATAAATAAATACAAATCTTAAAAAAAAAAAAAACAGATTTCCAAACATGCTATTTTCCTTTTCTTATTTTAAGCACATCACGTCTAAGGCTTGCCTCTTGTCAGAAGTCTCAGTGGCCCTGTCCCCACTTGGCAGAGATCATCTTTGAGGCTGAACTGTGACCATTGGCTGTCCTTTCTCTCCTGCTTCTTCATTGTGTTTCTTTTGTTCATCTGGTTGCTCCTGGCTGAGTCCTTAAGGAGACCATCTCAGTTGAGCATGGTAGTTTGGAGTCTTGCAGCCATGCCAGCTGGCCCCTTCCCTGAGGGTGCACAGTTAGCTGAGCCTGCCATCTTGTCTCACTTGATGGGCCCAGGCTTCCACAGTTCTCTGAAGGGTCAGACTGTTAGCCAGGCTGCCCTTCCAGAGAAGAGATCTGATATGGACCTGCCATCCTATTGATCTCAATTTGTCTAAGGCTCATGTATATCTGTACCATAAGGGTTAGGTTCAAGAGCCTTCAAGCCTAGGGCAGATGGGATTTCTAGTCTGGAGGACCTGAAAAGCCCTTTGTGTTTCTGGAACCGTGATTCAGATTTTAACCATTGCATCAGCCCTGAGCATGAGTTGAAAAACCGTTCCAGGATTATATTCTGCTTTCTAGTATGACCTTTCTTAGAGGGACACCCTCGTGTGGAACAGAAGGCTGCCAGGATCAGCATTCAGACTGAGACATATGGAGGCAGAGGGTCAAAAGTAGCAGCTGGCTTTGGTAGAACTCCATGCTTGTTTATGATTCTGGGAGGACGGGGACCCCACCCTACCCTGACCAAGCACAGCCTCTCAGCAGCCCAGGCTCTGCATCTCAGGCCTGGGAAGAGCATCACAGCCTTGCTGGACAGCCACATGTAGCTAAAAGCAAGCACTGCCTGTGGCCAGCACACCTCCAAGAACCATAGGGCAAATAGTGACAGCTCATTTCTTGCTTTCAAAGAGAAGCCTGGCTGAAGTTGGGGCCTGACCTCAGAAGAAACAGGATTGCCTTCATCTCAGACCTATCCAGTGATGGTGGCTCTGCAAGAACTTTGATATGCTCACCAGTGGGGTCACAGGTGAACTCTTGGAGAGCTCTGACTGCCATTAAACCTAAGAATTGGTGGCCTTACAGAACTCATTTAGGATGTTCACATCTTGTCTTTGGCCCCTCAGCCTGGGGCTTCTGATATTCAGTAACACAGGCAGTAAGTAGCCCTTGATCTGCCCTTGAATTTTTAAAAATCTTAGATACAGTTGAGTTCCAGCAGGGTCGGGACTCCCAGCAAAGCCAAGGCCTTATTTCCTGTCTTAATTGATCGGAGGTATGAACAGCAATCCCATTGTTAATTGGCTATTCACGCATCACCTGTGATTTGTAGCAAGCTCTCCCTCCCACCACCAGAAAGTGCAGCTACAGCACCTGTGTATATGTGATGCACTTCCAGAGAGATGCATGCTTTCTGGCTGTTTCTCCTTGCCCTCTTGCTGTGTCCCTGTGTTTCTTATGCTTCATGTCATTGATTGCTTTGGGTATGGGGGCACAGGAGGTTATCAGATCCAATAACTCTCTCTTCACCAATTCCTTGTTGTAGACTATTGGGGAGAGTCTTATTACAGTGACCTCATCGACTTGCATCTGGGTGGTATGTATAGCAGTATCTGTTGCTGACACTAACCCTGCTGAATCCTCCCCCTCTCCCTCCCCCCCTTACCGCTGTCCCCAGTCCCTGCTCACAAACAACAAGAAGGAATCATCCTGATAACCAAATGGCAAAAGCATAGGCCCTTTTCCAGCTCATAATAGAGCAGCATGCTGGATCCTCCACACTGCCCAGAGGAAGATTTGAGATAGCCTTTGCTGCCCACGTTCTTTTAATGTTTTTATAATGAAAGTTCACATACTCTTACATGTCACATCTGTGTCCTGGTCCCTCTAATACTGTTTAGTCATCTGACAGTAGTAACCCACATGTACACACACTCACATGTGCTCATATTCTCTCTGTCTCCCTCCTCTTCCCTTTCCCCTCACCCCCTACCCCCCCCAAACATGACCTCTGCCCTGATCTCATTCTCATTCCTTACAACCTGTAGGTATCACATCCACTAGGAGCCTCACTGCCAATCATACTCAAGAACCAAACATGTAAAGAACTCAGCCTCACCCGTTTTCATTAGGGTGTGTTCATGTTTCCCCTAAAAGATCCAAGTGCATGGGAAAGGTGTCAGTTGTGATCTCTGCCTACATTCGCTGAACTTGAGGCCGTGTTGACGTGCCTATAATAATGTCCCTCCCTCCTTACTGTGTCAAGGAACTTACTTTGCAATTCTTTTCAATGAAGATAGAAAAAGTGTAAGGCAGTGGTTCTAAAGTGTGGTTTCTGGACAAGCAGCATCAGGAACATTATTCAGGAGCTTACTGGAAATGCAGATTCCCATAGGATATTTCCTATCCCAGATTTTCTGAATCAGAAACTCTAGAGGTGAGGCCTGGTTATCTGTTTTAACAAACCTTCCAGATGATTCTCATGCCCCCTAAAGCAAAACCACTACCTTAAAGGAATTTAAGATTTTTGGTGTCTTGGCTGTACTCACTATTTGTATTAGATTAGGAGAATAAGGAATCTGTGAACCTCATTTCTAGACTTTGGGCAGTTTTGTCAAGAGGAGTACCAAGCAGCTGCTCCTGAGATTAACCACAGGAAGCTCGGGCTGCTTCTTGGGGTTACTGCATCCTTGGATGGACAGTCTGACCTTTTCACCTCCCCTTGCAGGCTCCTTGACTAGAAGTGGTCTGAAAACAGAAACTAGCAAAGATTATCATCTGCCATTTTTTTTGCCATGATGCCATCTTTTAAAGAGTTACTTGTGCCTCGTTCATTTAAAAACAAGAAGCATAATTCTGTGATTCCTCCTGTACAACAGTGTCATATTGTTAGAGGACTTGGAGCAGTAGGAAGCAGGCTCTTGGCCCCCGGTGGGTTGGGCTTTCTGCGTACCAGTCCCTGGGGTGCCATGGATTCCCAGCCCTCTGCAAATCCTTCCAGTGCCCCAGAGCTCCTGGTGTATTCAGGGACTTCCATAGTTGTGGCCATTGATGCTGCAAAAGGGCTGATGCTTGCATTCCAATTAACAAATCCCATTTCCTATATAATATCCTTGACTCCTTTCCCTGGCTCCTAACATGCCCGGGGGATGTTTATGTCAGTCCTAAAGGAATCTCCAGTGTATGAAAAATATTTTTTTTAATTCAAAACCTCCTGTAGGAAAAAAAAAAAAAAAACAAAAACCTCCTGTAGGGATCCCTGGGTGGCGCAGAGGTTTGGTCCCTGCCTTTGGCCCAGGGCCCCATCCTGGAGACCCAGGATCGAATCCCACATCGGGCTCCCGGTGCGTGGAGCCTGCTTCTCCCTCTGCCTATGTCTCTGCCTCTCTCTCTCTCTGTGTGTGTGGCTTTCATAAATAAATAAAAATTTTAAAAAAAAAAACCTCCTGTAAAAAAAAACCTCCTGTAAAGAACTGTCAAAACCCATTTCTTTACAATTATATTCACCTTCCTTCCCAGCTTAAGATCCTGCTGCCACACTGATCACCTCACATGCCTAGTTCTGTCTCTTTGCCGCCACGTGCCCCACCCCCACCCTGCTTGAGTGATAAAATGTAATTGGCTGTTTTCAGTTCTGTGTCCTTGACTCGATAGCAACTAGCCTCTCAGGTTTAGAATTCCAACAGATTTCAGGGAAAAAAGGTAATACAAGGAAATGAAAAAAGAATCCCCAGGGTGTTCTGTGAGTTGTAAAGTTCCCCACCATCAAATACCTTTGAGCCCCTGCTACTTACTCGGTTCCCATCAACTTGTCACTTCCTCTTCTGCAAGCTCATTATGATTTCAGTGTTAAATTTAGACTTCTCTTGTGATTCTGTTCAGCATGTAGAGGCTGCTCTGCCCAGCCAATGAAGCAGGAAAAAAACCATCCATTCTGAAGGCAGTAATTTGTACCCGAGGTACAGAACAAGAGCCTTGGCCCCCGCTTCCCACCCAGCTCCAGGAGGAAAACAGATGCCAGAATTGGGTCCCTCTTCAGTTTCTGCTGATGTTTCATTGTTAGAATACTATAATATTCATTATTGGATGGGGGGAGGGGTTGTCCTTTTGAAATGTTGGAGCCTGATGGCCTCTCTCCTCTTGAATCCCCAGAAAGCCACAGGGCAGCCCCATCACTGGGCGCCGGCACCGATCCTAGTTCTCAGGTGAATGAGATAGAGCTCCAAGCTGTGTCCACATGTTAAGAATTCCATACCCTACCCGGAGGATTGCAGACTCCTGATCCCTGCCCCGAACTCGACCCAATAACCTATATTGCTTTGGGAGGTCTTTCACTGGCTCTTGGCTATTTTAAGGCTCCAGGCCTATATTTAAAGTCTATTTTGGGAGCACCTGGGGTGGCTCAGTTGATTTAAGAATCCCACTCTTGATTTCATGATCTCAGGGTCATGAGGTCAAGCCCCACATGGGGCTCTGTGCTGACCCTGGAGCCTGCTTGGAATTCTCCACCTTGCTCTCTGCCCCTCCCTGCTCCTCATGTGCACAATATACTCTCTTTTCAAAAAAAAAAAAAAAAAAAAAAGGCCTCGTTTTGAGTCACAGAGTATAGAAAATAAAATATCTTCTCTACATAGTTCAATTTTGTGATTTCAAGACACCATTAGAAGGACACATAATGAACCCCAAACCATAGAGGACCTGTCCCAAAGTGACCTGAGTCCCCTTCCCTTTCCTGCCCCAGGACACTGAGCAGGCAAGCTCTCCCTAACTAGTACAGACACCACATTTTGTTGCACTAGGACAGATAGATGACTGGAAATCTTTAGATAAAAATAGCCTCTCTTCAAAAGAACTTTCAATTAAAAATATATACCTCATTTCTCTTTTTCGAAGACCTCCCCACCTGATTTATATGTCTCAAAGTAAAATTGAAAGAACATGAGTGGTTTAGAAATGTAAGAGAGGACTGAAACGTGGTCTTTCATTGTTGCTAGTGAGTTGGGGTAGAGGCACAGGGAAGGGAAACCCACCCCAGGCCTGCTCACTTCCCTCCCTTCCTGTTCTATTGGCTTGCCTCATTTGGATGTGGGTACATTTTGTATTTGTTTGGCCTGAGCATTATTAGCCTTGCTCTGTTTTTGCTTAGGAACTTTAAAATCCTTGAGATTTCTCTGTATTCTAATGTGTGTGTGTTTGCACATGTGTGTATGTGTGTGTTGGATCTCCATTCTTAAATGATTTTTTTCCTTCTCTTTGGGGGGAGGGAGGTTTCATTTATCCCCTAATCCAGAGATTCATTCTACACTGAGTTATAACACGAGGCACATCTTAGCCCTGTCTACCTACGTATGTAGACTGGGCCTGCTAGACCAGAAACCTTCCACCCTGTCATGATGCCTGCTTACCACTCAGCAGCATTGCAAACCAGCCAACTTGATTCCTTCTTAGGGCCAGAGTGTTTCTTGTTGCCTCTGGGTTTGGGATTGGGCGCCTCAGCCTTGCAGTGTGAAGGCTGCCTGAAGTCAGGGGCGTGGCATTGATCCTGAGGAGTCAGAACAGGCAGCAGAATAAAACATCTGGCCAATCTTCCCTTGCTTCAGACTACATAACCTGAACAACACAGAAGAGAAAATCAGTGAAAGCCTCATTCCTTAATACGTGAATCACAAAGTTCTTCCAGGCCTGGGCATGTGGCTTTCTGCAAGTTTAATCTGATAGATTGAGTGTGGGCATGAAAGGTAATGCCCCTGAGGTTCCTTACGAAAACATGAACAACATTCTGGTAGTATCTGTAAGCATGAATTGTATAAAGAGCTACTGCTGCATTGCTGAGTCAGCTGTCAGCAAATGTAGTGGCATTTCAGCCAAAAACAAGTGTGAGAAGTGAGAGCCCCACCCGGGCAAGATGAAGGCTACAGTCTGGCCCAAAGAGACAGGCCCAGAGCTACCGTGGCGGGAACATGGAATCATGAAATATGACTGAAAAATAAGGATACCTGTGTCCCATCCATGACACCTTGGCGCTTGTTGTTCAGAAGCCAAAAGGAAGTGAAAAAGAATCTCTTCCTTTATGTGGGATTTTTCATAAATGTAGCTAGAAAGGGAGTAATCTAACCCAATGCTACTCTACAGATTTTTACATGAAATAAGCTACAGTGTATGAAAAGGGAAGGTGTTGGGCTGCCAGGGTAGGTGGCAATCTTGAGCCTATAAAAGGGTAATATTTCTGTTGATGTTGGTGAGCTGATTGTTTGGAATTCCATATGCTCCTGTGGAAATGCTGTTACAGGTGGTGGCTCAGCTCTTAAAAAGCCCATTGTCCTCATAATGTACCTAGCACACCGTACTAGTATCTAGTTAGTGCACAGTGCTAGGCTATGACATTCTAGGACATAACCATGATTCCGTGGGGGAAATGCAGAGTTCCAGGCTGGTGCCTTTGGAATCTAGGTATCTCCCTAGCCCATTGGCCTAGACCGTCCCCATGGTCTACCAGGTGCTGACTGTAAAAGCTTTAAGCCTATGGCGAGGGCTGTTTTGTCCAACAGCAGGAACCAGGAGCCTGTGCAGTGGGAAGAGATAAGTACCTGGGATGAG